TAATATATACCTGTTTATCAGGTGGTTAAAAACTTGTCAGCCTATAGTGTTCATTCCAAACCACTACTGTTTTGTTTACACAACTAGCAGCAGACCACTCTCTCCTTTGGAAAATAATTTGATACCATTTTGTCAGCAATTTAAATGTAGCCCAAACAAGACTCCTGCTACTGCTTTAAAATTAGTTGTACTGTACTTTAACATACATCCAGTACTAATCTTTTTTATTATTTATGTGTTTATTTACAATTTGTAAAGCCCTGCTTTTGTTTCAGAGTTGGACTTTCCATTTTCCATGACTTTTTCAAGAGTAATTAGCTGACACATTAAGAAAGGGGAAAACTTTGGATGAATATCAGAAAAAAAAACCCATTCTGGGAGTAAGATCTGTTAAGGTGTGGAAGAATTGCACAAGTCGAGTGATGAAAGCCCTGCCTCCTGAGACATTTAAACTAAACGGGAGAAAAAACCACTAGGAAATGCACTGGGGGAGCAGTCCTGCATTGGTGGATATTTGGGGGGGGAAGGGGAAGAGGAGGCAGGCAGGAAAGGCAGAATCTGAGGTTGAATTGGGCCGATTCATGGTAGGTCAGTGAGCTGGTATTTTTTCCTGGAGGCTGCCATCTTGTGCCCCAGAGTCTATTCTTGCTAAGTCTTTAGTGCTCCTCAATAATTTTCAGAATGCAACATGTAAACCAATGTAATCATGTTTGCTTGCATTTCCAGACAGCCTGAACTAATAGCTGAGATGTGTAAACTGGCCTGTTTATTTCAGTAGTGTGCTAATTCTGAGGTCCAAAAGTGATAACGATGAGAGCTGATTTCGGAACTATTTTTCTGCTGGTACAAAATAAAGGAAGGGGATGATCACATTATGAAGATCTATACAATGTACTTTGAGTCACTTCTTGTTTTGAGGCCTTCTTTTGGTGTTTCTGGTGGATGGAGGTTAGTTTATGGGTTGGAGTTTGGGAGAATACAGGTATTTTTTCTCCAGTTCAAACTCTAGATAGGACAGATACAACCATATAGGTTTCCACCCCAACCCCTTCCCTCATGTGATTTGAGACCCAGGGGTGAAGTTGTGTATGCAAACAGGAATTCATGCATGTAATGTCCAGTTATGCAGGGGCGCTGGAACAATTTGTATAGTGGGGGTGCTGGGAACCATTGAACCAAACTGTAAACCCTGTATATGATGGAAACCTCTTCAAGCCAAGGGGTGTAGCAGGACTCCCAGTTCCAGCACCTATGCAGTTATGTTGAGAGTTCCCTGAAAATGGATTTTTGCAGGTGCATTTTCAGTCAAATTCCTGATAATTTGGTTCATAGAATCTGCTATTGACCCATTGTATTCATATGGGTGCCTTAGTGCAGAAGCAACCCTATTTCAGAAATGGTTAATAAATGTATAATGTCTATAATGCTTGTCTGTGTGAGTTTTAAAAGAATGGGAAAAACCTGGCCTAGGCATCCAGCCCATGGATTAGATCCTTTGTCTCCTCTGTGTGACAGGAATCCTGAGGCAGGAGCTGACCCAGTACCCTGTCACTCAAATCCCCACCAATAAAGGTTAATTGGGACCTAAATAGAGGATCAATTAACACCTGCAGCCACAGTTGAAGAGCTAATTAGAGGGAGAAGCAGCCCCAGCATCTGGGAGCAGATAAATAGAGAGGAAGGAAGCCCCGAAAGGGGCAGAGACACGGAAGGAAGGCAGGGCTGGTGGCTGCTGCCACCACCTTTTCCCCAGAAGCCAAAGGGGGAGCTGGCTGGGATGTGTAAATATGTAGATAACACTACAAGTAATGGCTTGCTAGAACAGTATAATAAAGCACAATGGTGATGGAAGTGGCCTGGAGTGAGCGTGGTCTGTATCTAAGGCCTGGTTTACACGGGGGGTGGGGGGGGGGAACACACCA